GTCAATTAGAGAGCGCTTCCAAAAAACAAGTAAACAACAGTGGCGCGTACAGAGGTAAAATGTAGTACATATGTGGAATTTAGGAAACAAATTGGATTTATAATAAATTACATTTAAAATAAATAGTTTATGAGAATAAAGGAATTTTTGTAGCAACAAGGTTGCCAGACCAGAACTGATCCCCTCGTCCCTTCATAATGTATAAAGAAATTATTCAATTTGTAAAACCCTTAAAGGCGTACTTCATTGGTTCCCTTGACAGGCAATGATTTATTACTTTGCATCGAATATGATCGTACTATAGGTACTTAATTGTAATTTAATGCAACACCATTGGAAGTTTCAAAGCCAAATATCTCGAAAACGGTGCGAGATAGCTACTTTAATAAAGTATACCTTTTTTGTGCAAAAAAGTTGAAAAATAAGAATTTGTTACCAAAGATGAGATACCTTAAAGTACAAAAAAGTTATGTAGTTTTTAACATATTCAATCTACTGCAGCTGGCGCTCTCTATGAACTTTAACCAAAATGTGAACAGATTTCAATTCCTCTACTGAAAGAACTTCAATCACCAAAATTTTGTGAGGATATTTGCATTTGTTAAGGAATAAATTAAAAAAACTGAAATAATATTTTACATTTAACACCCTGTATCTCTTTAACTATCAACTTTTGGACTAAGGTAAGTTCGGCTAAATCGCAATACATTTACTTGGGGAATCTACCCATGAATTTTCGTTTTACATTTTTATCCTAGTTTAAGTCTTTGGAAAAAAATTGATGATTAGTATGCTATATTGAGCCAAGAATGTAAAGTAATTGCGGTAGCACCCCGGATAATACCTTCCCGGACAGTATTCTGACGTTCCGTGAAAGAACTTAAAAAGTAACGAAGGCTTTTGTTCCAGCTGAGCCACGATATTCGCCATGGATCAGACTTTATCCTCATTGCAGTCGACTTTGCCCTGTCGGGATAGTCAGATCGAGCAACTCTATAATCTGTATGCATATAAAGATGAGCCCCTAGTGGAGAGCGTCTACATTTACGGAGGGCCAAGCACCGGAAAATCAATCGTAGTGACTACCCTTCTGGAGAGGCTCAAGATAAGACATGCCGTGGTGAACCTAATCGAATGCTACACGGCGAGAATTGTCTTCGAGACAATCCTAAATAAATTCTCCGGCCATAAGATGGATCCGCAGAAGCCGCTACCCTACGCGAGATGCGATCATCTGATGGATTTTATATTTAATTTGCAGAAACTGTCGCTAGAGAACGACCTGAATGGTTCTGTTTTAGTGCTGGATAAGGCCGAGGAGTTGAGAAATATGGACTTTAATTTATTAGCGGGTTTCCTTCGCTTTAAAGAATTAAGCGGAATCTCGATTTCGGTTATTTTTCTATCCGAGGTCGTCTTCGAGAAGTACTACTCCACTAACATCGTCGAGCCCATAAAGGTCTACTTCCCACAGTACAATAAAGATGAATTACTGGAAATCCTCTCCCTAGACGTCGATTGCGCGAGGAAGGCGCTGACGAGCGACGCGGATGAGTTATTCGAGTTCGACGAGGACTTCTACAGAAAATATTTGAACGTTTTCTTGTCTGTCTTCTACCGAACCTGCAGGGATTTATCGGAACTCCGATACATGTCGAGGAAAAACTTTGTGAAATATTGCCAGCCGATAATAAACAAGGAGCGCACCATTAGCGATTCCATGGCTCTGTGGAGAAATGTCGCCCCCGCACTGAAAGCCTCTTTGGAAGTGCTGTATCTGAGGGTCGACTCCGCGCAACCACAAAAAAAGTTCGGGGAAAATTTGGCGCAGAGCCTCGAGCTCCCCTTCTACGCCAAATATTTATTGATAGCGGCTTACCTAGCCAGCTATAATTCTGTTAAGGACGACAAGAGGCTGTTCATGAAGTACCACGGTAAAAAAATGAAAACTAGAAAGGACGTGAACGTAAAGAGCAAAGTGTCCGAGCAATTGAATACGCAGCTCGGGCCGAAGCCGTTCACTTTTGACAGATTGCTTGCCATATTTTATTCCATTCTGGATGATAAAGTCGGATTTAATAACAATTTGTTGGTGCAGGTTTCCAGTTTGGTGGAGCTGCAGTTGTTGTCCACGACGTCGGACAATTGCTGTTTGGACGGACAGAAATATAAGTGTAACGTTAACTTTGATTTCATACACGGCATTTCGAGGATGGTTGGGTTTAACATCAGAAAGTATTTGAGCGATTTTAGTCACGTATAAGTCAAGTATTTAGTCACATTAATATTGTGTTTATTTAAATAAATAACTTAAACGGTAGTATTCATTGTTACTTCTCAAATGACTAGTTTCCAGTTTTACAACATAAAGAAAAAAATCTTAAAATTACTTTTACAGCTGTAAGAGATATTCGCTTTAATGTCTTGCTTCTGTTACAGAAACGCTAAAGATGCATACATTTTTCTTGATTTCTAAACAAAGCTTAGAAAAGAAGAAAGAAAAGCAACAGAACGTTGTATATCAGAAATATCTACTAAGTTTGTTTATATTTTTTGTTACAGCATTATACAGGGTGTGGCGTGTATAATCTATAAAAATTAAACTACAGCTTCCTGATGATATTTGTAATAGAAAACTCTTATACGAAAAAGTTCTATCTTCGCGTTTTTTTTTGTAAATTAAAATTCATTTATTCAACGAAAATGAACGCCGAAGCTGTTATTTATTAAAAACTTTGGAAATGCAACCTTATAATTTAAGTCGGTATAATCTAATACTAGAGTAATACTAAAAGAAGGGTCGGTTACATTGTCAAAAAATTTGTGCAGTCAACTGATTTTGTATTTGTGTTGAATTCATTATTCACTTAATTATTCAATATTAAGCATCGTCCATCGACCTATCAGTGTTAAAAAGTGAAAGATGTCAGACAAAAGTTTTTATTTTGTAATTCCACGATAGTGACAGTGTAATTTTTATAAAGAAGTAAAAAATAAGAATAGTGTGCCGATTACATTAAAAACGAGATTCTTATTTCTTACTTTGCTTAATTTTTAAGTTTGTGCACAAACTAGTTTTACAATGAACCGAGAAAACAATGCATTTACTATTTCCGAACGTGTCGATATGGTGTTAGTGTATGGTGCAGTCGGAGAAAATGCGATCGCAGCGACTAAGTTTAACCGGGAACGATGGCCACAACCTCACCCCTCATGTGCAAATACAATCCTACAGTGCGTTCAGCACCTGCGATATACGGGAAGTGTTATTCCTCGAGTAGAAGGACGTGGTCAGCAAGTGAACTTTAATGTTGAAGATGCAGTGTTGGAAAATCTTGACGAAGACCCCACAATTAGTACTCGAAGACTCGCACATCAAGTAGGAACCTCATCTCGTACCGTACATCGCATCTTAAGGCGCTAGCTGTTGCACCCCTATCATCTGCAACCAGTTCAATAGATTTTACCCCCGGATTGTGATCAACGAATGCGTTTTTGCATATGGTATTTACGGCAATGTGCCCATCAAGTAGACTTTCCTGCTTATGTTTGTGTAACAGATGTGGCGACATTTATCCGTGATGAAGTGAATTTCCATAATATGCACATATGGGCCGATAAAAATCCTCACGCGATTAGGGAAACTCATTTTCAACATCGGTAAATGTTTGGGCTGGCATAATAGGCGATGTACTTGTGGGTTCTCATTTCTTTGAAGGGTGACTAAATGGACCAATATATGCTGACTTTTTGGAGAACCTGTTGCCTGAATTATCGGACAATGTGACATTACAAGTTCGGGCACGCATGTTTTATCTTCAAGATAGGGGGTCCTCAACACAGTACACGAGAAGTAACGATACTTTTGAATGAAATGTTTCCTCAGCTATGGATTGGACGCTTTGGTCCTGTCCCGTGGCCACCTCCGTCGCCCGATCTGACCCCAATGGACTTTTATCTTTGGAGTTACTTGAAGTCATTGGTTTATAATACGCCATTTGCTACGGTGGAAGAATTGCGAAACCGTATACTTGAAGCTGCTGACACAATTAGGGGAATACCTGGAATTTGGGAAAATATTCGCTAAAATTGGGTGCGTCGGTGTCATGCCTGCATCCGCGCTAATGGGGATCAATTTCAACATTTTCTCTAGAAATGTTAAGTTTTATTTCATTTTGTTGCATATTTTAATGGAGTTTGTTTAGTGCACGCAGTTGGCAACTACAGATGCTTACGGATGTGGTTTTGTTTGCGAACTCTTGCAGTAGCAACAAGGTATTTAAGATAGTAATTACTATTAATTATTATAATAAGAAAATATAATTTTTTTTAAATATATTTTTCTTAATTTGTACTTTTGTATTGAAAAATTCCCCAAAAATTAAGAAGTATCTTTCTTTCAACGAGGATTTGTTTACGCGGCTGGTCAACAGCACGTAACTCATCGAACAGCACACGGACAGGACCGTTACAGAGAAAATATTTTGATCCATAATTGAACTTTAATTTACGGAAAAAAAAAAACGAAAAAATAGAACTTTTTCGTATAAGACTTTTCTATTACAAATATCGGTAGGAAACTGTTAGAGAAAGGCATAGTTAGCTAATTTGATTTCTTCGTATTAAAATTAGTAGCCATATCTTCCTTATGATTATTGATAGCCCCATCAAATCAATATCAGTATAATCTTTAGGAAATAATACCCAAATATGTAAAAATATACAAAATGTTCTGTTTAAAGAACAACTTTGATTATATTTCTGAGATGCAACATTTAATTGTATTTCTAGACATTGTTTTAAAGTTGCAAGAATACAAAAAGGCTTGTGGACACATCAGTTTTCTTTGCTAAATACAAAAGTAAGAGAAATATTGGGAAGAGGCGGAATGCCTTAATTCATGCATATTTTGGAATCTTTTAGACATGAAACGAATATAATTTATTTACCTAATAAAAAAACCGAACAGTTTACATTATTTGATATAACCAGATATTAGAAAATATAGATATGTTTAATCATAAAACCATTAAAAATAATTCAAATTTGGCGCCTTATCTCGCCTTATTTCAAAACTGAGGCCTCTCCGGGATATAGTTTATTAAACAAACCCATACCATTTTCCATAGATTTATAGATTCCGAAAGTTATCAAGATAAAAAGTGGAACACCCTGTATATCTCCAAATTTATTACTACTGCAAAAGTTGCTGGTCCCCTTGGATCCAGGCAGATATTCCTGATTTAGTTTCTCCTGGAATAACCGAAACATCCTCCAGCACACCGAATGAGCTACGCTACGCGGCTGACGCAGGCATACCAGCATTACCCAAATTTAATCAAAAAGAAACTGCCGTCCTGCTACTATCCGATCCCACGTAGCAATGAGACACCCCAGGAAAACCGCACCAGCATGTCCCACTCTGAGTCCTGATCGATATTAAACATGTAGAACGTCGGGACTGCAGGCCCTCAGGCATACCAAACGTACAATACTCGAGATTGCTGGCGGCAACTGAGCCCTTGAGATAGCGTAACCGACGTAGCAAATTATACAAATGGGGTCGGTGCATAAGTAGAACAATGTCTGATTTTTTACAGGTGAACTATATCGACTGCTTGTGATAGTTAAGGTTAAAAATCGAAACCCCATTTCTTCTAACAGAGTACCACAATATTCGTGAAAAGGTTTAATTTTTTTTCATTCAATATATTCTGGGACCACAAGCTTTACTAGGTACAGAAGTATTAAAAATGCGATAAAATGTATGTATGTAGTTTTGTGGAGGATATGATGTGAAAAAAACGACGTGAGACAGTTTTATACTTTACTAGCAACCCACCCCGGTTTCGCACGGGCAAATATAAAATAGCCTATGTTGCTCCGAGGAGATGTAGCTTTCGGTAAAATTGGTTGAGTAGTTTTTGAGTTAAATCGTAACAAACAAAAATCAATCATCTTTCATCTAATGCGACCCTAATATTAATTTTAAAATAATTCACGATATATCTATATACCTAAAGGCAACAAACGAACTCAAAACTAAAAATGCAAAACCTTTAAATTTAAAACAATATAGGTAACTACCAAAAATGTGAAAACAAAACGAATTAAATTAAAGTACCTATGTTCAGGACTATCAGTTTTAATTAATAAGTAAGTAGTTAGGTATCTAACTACCTAAAGAAAACAAACACAAAACAAATGAAGTTTTAACGATTCACAATAAGAAAAAATAAATAAATAATTAAAACTCAATGAAATAAAAGTAAATTTGCAAATATCTTTGTATGTTCCGACTACCTAAAGACAACAAATACAAAACAAAAATGTGACCTTAAAATATCGAACGCAATTATAACTTTCCAACAACACCCAGAAAGAAAACACAGTCGTCAGTCGTCACCTCCATTCGCTCCAAGTCAGTTTATTAAAGGATTACGCGCGCGTTATCGTTCGGCTTATTAGCTAAACAGTAGGCAAGACGGCGCGGGGGGAGGGTCGGCGATCGCATCAAGCGAAGCGAGGCGCTTGAATTTTATTCTCGCGTCCGTAATTTTTTTGCGATTACTCCTAAGATATTCATTTAAATTATATGGTGTAAAAGAATAAAATAATGTGCATTTAAAATGATAAGGATTAATACCGTATTTGTGTAAATAGCTTTTACATTACCGCTTTATAATTGCCAAATTTTTAAAGTATTAAAATGGATATAGGTAGTATGTTATCTTTAACATATAGACATATGCCATCGGGGACTTTTCTGTAGGTATATATAAGATACACAATTCCACCATACATTGATACACTACATAACTTTCGGACCATCCCCCCCCCCCCCCCCGGCTAGGACCTGAGGCGCGGGGTCACGGGGCCCGGTCGACACGGCGACACGGCGACACGAAATTAATTTCGTTGCGCATTATTTTGATTTTGATATATCTCCTAAGGTATTCATTTAACTTGCATGGTGTAAAGGGAAAAAATAATCTTTATGAAATGCTCAAGCCAACTAACATATTTACCGCTTTATAATTGCCCATTTTTAAAGTATTAAAATGGATACAGTATGTTATCCTTAAAAGAGATAGACGTATGCCATCGCGGACTTTTCTGTAGACTTATATAAGATACACAATTCCACCATACATTTTTTTGTTATACCTATCTCAAAGGGTTTAGGCAGCGTTTTCGCTCCCAGACGGCTTATTTTTTACCGACACCTCCAACAAATATCGTTAATGTATACAAAAACTTAACAAATTATAATACTAAAACCTTCCTCGAGAACCACTCTATCCATTGGT